TGCTTCAGGAAAGGCTCGAGGATCGGCATTTGTCGATGTGAAAAGGGAATCCCCATGATGTTTCAAACATTTGTTACACAGTAATTTCTGTGATAATCAGAATTCCAGAATTCGACCTTGCCTTTGACGACTTTGACGATAGATAACTGTGACATACTTTGGCCTCATTCGTGGATATGATACTTTGGAGCCTATGGGTACCCTATATCAAATAATCTGAGTACTGTGCATTCTGTCGTAGTCCATTTTGAGACTTGCAGAAGAATATGAAGAGGAGTAGAGATAAGGCAATTTGAAAGCTCGTATTGTTATCAAGCGCAATGCTGGCGGAAAGAAAAGATCAAATGATGCAGTTGATGCTTACTCGATGATGTACCTTTATTTCTGGGATGCTGGAAGTCAACAAGAGGGTCTGAACTGAAATTTTAGCTGATAATATCGACCAATAGGCACTACCGTATCGAACATTACTGCAAGTATGTCCACGCCTACATGGAGGAAGCTTGATGTTTGATGCCAAAATCTAGAACCAGCTCACGGTCTAAAGGCAGCAATCTAGCTACACTGTTTACTGGACGAATCGATGGAAATTCTTCAGACGCTGGATCAAGAGAGGCTGCAACTGTGTCTTTCCAATTCCGCTATCGAATTTAATTGCTGGGTTGTTTTGGGTCGTACATGTGATTTAACAACTCATCATTCAAAGAAAAACGTTGTTAATTCTTATACATCAGAGTTAAGTTTCAAATGCAATTGAGCAAAGGAAGAATCATGAAATTATATCTCTAAGAAAAGAATCAAATTAGAATCATCATTTACTTTGCAGACATACTTCATAAAAATTTGTACATACTTTTTTCCATCCATTTAAGTCACATTTTATATGTGGAAAATCTTTGAACAATATATTTTCAAACCATATTAATTCCTTGATTCCTGAATCATATCTACTTCAAGGATATCTCTATCATCTTTCCATATCTTTCTTCAAACAAAACTTCATCTCTGAACTGAGAGATCACAGTGAATTAACTGAATTGAGAATGACATTTCCAATTTTCTTCTCTCAATAGTCGTATGAAAACACACCAGCATATGCTTTACCTCTTGATCATCACATGTAGCAACAGCTTAAATTAGCATATGCTTTCCAACTCCTTCAACGACCAGATAACTTGGCATCCATCTATCTAAGAAAGCTAAGTTTTACGTTTAGAGATATACTTTTCTCAATTCAACGACATTGGATTGGTGTCAACTCTTATTTCCACAGCTGTTGACACTAGTATCATTTAGTTGGATCTTGAATCTTGATATCTTCTGTCACTTCATAGGTTTGCTTTGGAAAATCTCTGCAATTTACATGAAAAATTCATGGCTACCTCATCCAAGGAACATGAATTGATGGCTAGAATGCAACGGCTGGAATCGGAAATGCTGACTGTAAAGAAGTATATATACTTTCCTCAATTTTGGGACACTCGATTGGTCTCATCGGATCTTGAAGCATGATCTTCTTTTATCATTCCACATATATACTTTTCTCAACTTTGGGACACTCGATTGTTCTCATCGGGTCTTGAAGCATGATCTTCTTTTATCATTCCACAGGTTTGCTTTGGAATATCACTGCAATTTACATGAAGAAGTCATGTCTTCCTCATCCACGGGACATAATTATTGAATTGAAAATACTAATAGAGAAGGCCTTGGTCTCTGAAACCAACCAGATTTGCTTCGCTTATATGCCAGATGATAATCCTCAAGAAGCATATCAACCAGTCACTCCATTTTCCTTGGATGCAGTCTTTTTCTAGCTTGAAGCTCAGAGGACCACGGATGAGTTATCAAATAATCAGTATCAGCGGATTCTTGTTCGTTCCTGAATGCAAAACTATGAAGGTTTAAAAGGCCAAAAAAAACTTTGTGATGTAGGAATGCATGATAGTTCATTGATTAACATCATCAACTATCTGAGTGTGACAACAAACGCCATTGGTATAATAAGTTTAAATATTCTTTGGATGTCGATGGAGTCTTAAATTCATCGTACATGGAAAGTTTTGAATCATGTAAACTAAACTGGATTTTGCAGATCATGACTTGATTCATTTATCTAATACAATTGATATGCTTCTTGAGGAGGATTACCTGGCATATAAGAGAAGCGAATCTGGTTGGTATCAGAAACAATGGACTTCTCTACACACACATAAGTTGAGCACTCTTGGCCCGACTTTAATCAAAGGGGCCCAGTCTCTGTCGTCTCGACCTGACTTGATGGGCACGGATACCGCGAAGGTTCTATCAGAGCTGCAGGATCGTTCGGCTCCTTTTCCAGACGGAGAGGCTATGGCTGTCATAGAGCAAGAATTAGGGGTACCTCTTGGTCAAGTTTTCTCCCGCATTTCAGTAGATCCCATGGCTGCTGCGCCATTTGGCCACAGGCCAGACAGCTGAAGGACAGGAAGTGGCTGTGAAAGTCCAGCGTCCAAACCTGTTACTTACTGTAGCGCGAGATATCTACATCCTCCGACTCGGGCTGGGACTCGTAAGTAAGATGGCTGGGATGAGTTCGGACATATCTATTCGGGCAGACGAGCTTGGGCGGGGTCTTTTTGGTGAACTCGACTACACATTGGGAGCAGCCAATGCCATAACGTTCGAAACAGCGCATGCCAAACTGTATTACGTTCAAGTACCAAAAACTCTTCCCCACCTGACGAGTAATCGAGTTCTGACCATGTAGTGGATAGATGCATTCCGCCCTTCCGACTTGCATCAGATAGCTAAAGGAGCAACTCTCAATGGCGAACTTATGACAGTCAGGCAACAGCGCAAAGCGAAGGTTGCGCTTGATAATCGGGTGAAAAAGGAAGTGGAGTCTTCCCTCTTTCAGCTGTTGGAGACGCACGTAACGCATGCAGCCCACATCCTGGGAATCTATTATTCAAGAGAGATGACAACTTGACCTACTTGTGGGAAACTAAGATTGCTCCCCATGCAAAATTAACTAGATTTTTCCATTCTAATTAGTTAACACTGCTCTTTGCCAAGAAAGATGATATAAATAGTAAACTGTAAATAAATTAGAAAATTATATCAGAGTAGGTGTGAGAAAATCTTAATAACTCTAATTGAAAAGTTAGCTGGACATGCAACCAGTATTTGGTTTATCTGAATTAATTCCAGACTAGAAGAGTGTGTCAGATAGATTGGATTTGAATCTTTTAAGTACATATCTAGGGCTTCTATAATACTTGGAGAGGTTCTGTAAGGCTAAGTAAGGTACGACAGGCGACTGGCGGCGGAAAACAGTGACCAAGTGATTGTCAGATACGGAATTCTCGGCAAGTGAAACCTCAGGATTTTTTATGGCGGCTAGGATTTTGAAGACAGTCATAGCCGCCGCAGTTAGATATAGAGTTCTTAATATTTAAATCCTCTTAAGAATTTTGTTTGGTTTCTTTTTTTGCTTGTTTATGCGACTTGGTTCTATTTTGTAGCTTTTGCGTTTTCTATGTGTAACGTCAAGCCGGGGTTCTTGCTGGTTCTGTGAGTGCTGCAGGGCCGGATTCGTAAGTTTGTGAAAGGAAGTCCCCGATCCTTTTTCAGCGGAAGGTTGGTGATGAATGTGTTCTAGTGTGTAGTGGGGGATCTCCTCATTGTTGTGTTTACCTATATAACGTTTGTGTGGAATAACCTCTGCTAGGACTGGCTAGTATGCGGTGGGGTGCTCCGGGTAAGGGAACTCCAGATATACGCCAGTCCGACCTTCTCATGTGGTTCCACAGTACCTGTACGGGGTAGTTCAGGAGATGGCACGGGGCCACCACTTAACCTATACTGTTCAACCTCCATTCTAAGTCTAGATCCGGAGGTCGTTGTAGTCCTTGTGTGAGTTCAATTATGAGCTCAATTAAATAATTAGCATTAGTTAGTATGATATATTAGGGACTTCAGACAAAGAAAAGAAAAGAAAAATTATTTAATAGAGTAGTAGTAGGTTAGTAGTAGTTAGTAACGTAAGTAGACGTAGATTATTTATTGAATGTATCTGTTAAGTATCAAGAACGGGCCTGGCAAGGGTGGCGTGCAGTGAAGCGGGAATTGACGAGCCTTGGGCCCTGGTTGGCTAGCTGGGTTCGTGGATTGATGAAGGAAGACTCTAATTACTTTTTCTTCGAGAGAGGGGAAAAAAATTGGAGTGCTAGACGAATGGAGAGCATAGTGCTGCAGAGAATAATATGACTCGCTTGGTAGTGAGAAGGGAGGCGAAAACGTGAGAGAGCGAGCCCCGTAAAAAACACGACAAACACATGACAGACGGTAAGACCGACCTTGGATGTCTCTCGAGTGAATGTTCGTGGGATAACTATGTTGATTCACGGCAAAGGTGGTGCCGGTGTGTTGGTGGTGTATCGCGAGGGAGATAGAGTAGTGGCAGTGGTATTAGGACAAGGGACGGAGAGCATCGACAGCAGGCCGAAGAAGAGAGAGAGGACGGAAACTCGAGGAGGGGACGGGAGAAGAGCAGAGAGGACAAGAGAAGAGAAGAGGAGTGGAGAGGCTGGCTGGAAATTTGTTTAAGCGTGCAGATCTCGAGGTGTATTTTGTGCAGTTCTGTCAGCATTTTGATTGCGGTTGAGTGGGTGAGTTGCTGCTGGCCTGGAGGAGGACTAGAGAGCGGGGAGAGAAGGCGGATTGCGGGCCCGATTTGTGCGGAGACTGCGCCAGTGCATCGAGGGCGGCAGCAGCAGCAGGCATGGGTCGGGAACCGGGGGCGAGGTTTGTGCTTGTGAATTTCGCCCAAGACTCTGTGCTTCTGATTTCGGGCTCACGGCGAGGCGAGCAAGAATGCATCGTTGCCTTTCTGAAGATGGTGTGAACTAAGTATCAGGTCCATCATCAACTTTGGCAATGTAGGCAGTGAACTAGTGGTGCAGAGAAGAACATCTTGACCGGAATTTATGAGTTAGCTATTTCTATCGTCTGTAAGAATGAGAGACTTCCGTGGAGATGGGAGGGAGGCGAAGGCGGGGGACTCTAACTATCGGGTCGACTGGAAAGGAGAAAGAGACATGAGGACGGAAAGGAAAGAGAGCAGAGACCATCAAGGAGGAGAGTCTCGGGGAGAAGGCCGAGAAGGAAGGCGAGGAGGTGAAGGCAGGGAGTCTAGCAGAGGTGCTGGTCTTAGTGAATCACGAGGACTCAATTCTGACGACATCCGCATGAGCATGCAAGAAGCAGGAGAGGTGAGAGAAAGTTGGGGAAGTCGAAGTTTTTTAAAAACATCACGTTGAAGAGGAAGGGGAGATTGGAGAGTTCACAGATGATGCAGTCGCAGAGAGCACGAGAGTGGAGAGCCGGAAAAGAGGAGATACTCGAGATGAGAGAGACCGAGAGGAGCCTCGGTTTATGTCGTCTCGAGATAAGATCGAGAGGAGGGGTTATTTGCAGGTGCATATATCCTTTCAGTCCTCCTCTGCTCAAAGAGAGAGCCTGCGAGAGGAGAAAGAGAAAGAAAGGGAGCGCTTTGAAAAGGAGAAAGAGAAGGAGAAGGAGAAAGATCGGATGAAGGACAAGGAGCGGCATTGGTGGAGAAAGCGCGTCGATACCTTTGGTAGCTTAGATAGCTACCACAGGCTTCATGGAAAGCGGACCAGAGTTCATGCATACAAAGCATCGCACCCCGGCTGGACGTGAAGTGGATCTGCGAATGAGTGAACAGAAACTTGTGTAGGAAAGACTGTGCCGTGTCACCACCTCTCATCTCGAAAGTCAAATAATCAGTTGAAGCAATGGAGTCGAAAATGGACCAGTACTAGATTATGGAACAGGTGGGGCGGGGCGCCTTTGGATCTGCAATACTTGTGAATCACAAGCTCGAAAAAAAAGAAGTATGTCCTCAAAAAGATCCGTCTCGCTCGTCAGACGGACCGATGTCGACGATCTGCCCATCAAGAGATGGCTCTTGTCTCCAGGGTTCAGCAACCGTTTATCGTGGACTACAAGGAAGCCTGGGTAGAGAAGGGTTGCTACGTTTGCATCGTGACCGGCTACTGTGAAGGTGGTGACATGGCCGAAGTTGTTAGGGAAACCAATGGCCAAAACTTCTCAGAGGAGAGACTATGTCGATGGATCGAGTGACTGATACGGTTCGGAAGGAAGAGACGCAGCAGCTGGAGGCGTAGGGCGGTGAGGGGGAGATTACTCAATCACAGCACATCGCCTCAGATAAAGTCGTCAGCTATACATCCGGCGAAGAGAGAAGAAGCTGGCCCCTCCGACCGATCTGATCTTTCGATTGATCGACTGAAGAAAGAGCTTCGCATCGCAGGAAGCAATTGCCTCTCGCATTGGACTCTTCTTTTGAGACATAGATAGTGGGTGGAAAAAGGGTAGCAGCAGTGAGTTTCAGCGCAGATAGACCTGGATTGACTGCTTTGGAGAAAGAGTGAGAGTGATTGAGCGAGTGTTTGTGTGTGTGTGTGAGCGAGAGAGAGTGAGACTTTGAGAGAGGAGAGTGAATGAGATCCATGATGAGAGATGAGGAGGACGGGATGTAAAGTTCGAGGTGATTCTTCTTCCATGGCCATGAGAGCCCAAGGAGGAAGGGCGACCAGGAGCAGCAGCAGCAGGAGAGGTCGGAGTTCCACCTGACAGCAGCCGCAGCCGAGTGGAAGGACGGTTGTCAAGCCAGCGTGGAGTGGAGTGGAGTGGAGTGGAGTGGAGTGAAGCGGACAGTGGCGGATCGAAGCCTGAGTAGTCGATTTCCAGCATCGACTGCTTCGAGAAGGCGTGAAATTGGAAAAGCTAGTGGAGGATAACAGTGACGCTGTGTCCAAATTGAAGACGAAAATTCTACTGGGCCGTTTTACAGATTTTGTGAAGGATCTCGATTCTTTGTTCCCAAGAGCTTTTAGGTCTGATACCCGAAGTTCAGTACGTGAAAATGGATGGAGCAGTTATCCTTCTGCTTGGAGGCAAGTATGGGCCGGGAGATAGGAGGATAGAAGCGGGGAAGTTATGGAGTGGGTGGAATGGGTTCTTTCCCATGCTTTGCTCACAATTGCGGAAAGTAACGTACCTGGTTCAGATAATTTTTTGGTTGAAGCAAGGGACGGAAGTAATGCTCCGCCTCTTGAGAAGCAAACAAGAAGATGTTCAAGAAAAAGGTGCCACAGCATTAGCCCCTTCCGTTGTTATCGATGACGAGAACGCGACAGTAGATAAAGCAAGGGCGAAAGCTGTAATGAAAGGAGGTGGCATCGCATCCTTGCTGGATTTGGCTAAGTCTTGCCGTGAAGGAGTACAGGCAGAAGCCGCAAAGGCCATCGCCAATCTTTCTATCATTACTGAAGTTGCAAAGACAGTAGCTACAGAGGGTGGGATCAGAATCTTGGCTGCCCTTGCAAAATCTCCCAATCGCTAGGTCGCCGAGGGAGCCGCCGGAGGTATGTGGAACTTGTCTGTTGGTGAAGATCATAAGGGTGCCATAGCTGAGGCTGGGGCGATTGAGGCCTTGGTCGAACTAGCCTTCAAATGGCCCTCTGGTGGCGAAGGAGTCCTGGAGAGGGCAGCAGGTGCACTCCCAAACTTGGCAGCAGATGACAAGCAAAGGTTTGAGGGTCAGCGTGGTCACTTACCAAACTTCGAAGACTTGGATAGATAATGTGGATAAGGTTGGATAGGATAGGGTGCTAGGTGTTACTTTGGTTGTAACTCCCTGGATTTCTGGGGTGCCTCGGAGGCGGCTCCGTGTTGCTTATAAGGTAGCTCCGTGTTGGTGTTTGGAGATTCGAATTCGAGAGATTAGGAACGGAGCTATAGCCTCAGTGTGGGTTGTTGTGGATTCATAGTGTAGGAACTGAGCGCGGCTCTCTACAGTTGGTTTTCTGATGGTTCTGGGATTCACGTACTCTGGTTAGTTGGTGTGAGTGGAGGCAAAGTGTAGGAGAAGAGCTGCACCCTCACCAGTGAGTGTTGTGTGGATTCAGAAAAGAACTCTCAAAATTTAATAGTGGTGCCTCATGGGGTTGGGTAAGAGAATGGAGAGTTGTGGTGGCTAAGGTAGCTATATGTGTAGGCTTGGATCCCCACCCGGACTACAACGCTAAGGATGGGAGATAAAAGCTCACACCTTGGATGAAGTTTGTGGGGATATTTTGCGTGATCTGTTGATTCGGATCCAACAGCCCTGAATAGTTGTGAGAAGGTAACTGCATCTCTCGTATTAGTTTTTTTTTGTTTTTATTTTCATAGTGCCTCTTCCGTCATTTTAATCGCATAAAGGTAGGAGCTATCCTTCCACAAGACAAACGGCGCCCTCTAATATAGAGGGCGCCTAACCTCACTAATAGTTTCTATTAGTGAGGTTTTTGTCACAAAACTTGCTAATTGAATGTTTCGAACGATATTGTGCTCCGACAGGACTCATCTGCCACATGGAGAAAAGTCATCAGGTAGCCATGCTTGCTGCTAACGCACATCTTGTGAATAGACAGTAGGGATACCTCTTGTAATAACCCACTAAAGGCTAAAACTGCAATATAGTGGTAGAAAGGTCGAACCCACAGGGACAGAGGAACACACAGGGTACAAAGTGTCACGTTTAATAGACTATTTAAGGCGACTGTCACTCCCAGAAATACTGCAAGTGTCCACTCGGAGCGCACTCAGAGGTCGCACAGTGCAGCGTAACACACACACACACACACACACACACACACCTGAAACTACAGAAACACAACCCAGAGATCTGTTAGGACCTCTACTCAAGATTTCAGGGGGGAAAAGTCTCTCGCGAGCACACTCAGCGAAGCTGCGGGCAGTGGCTTCCAACTCCGGCTTTTACAACACTTCCACTAGCTTGCTGCTAGTGTAGGAAACCCGGTTTGGACTGCCTACTTCGGATCGAAGTCACTCCTACGCGGTGAACAACACTCTCAACTCACAAAACGCGCAGAGAACACAGGTCCGCACTGAAGGACTCACTACGAAACATTCCAGTAACACAACAACAGTCTATTGAAGAGTTTGAATTCTCAGGCACTTGTCATTCCCAGAAATACTACATGGGTTACCCTCAAGGCACCTGCTGCAGCGTAACCTGAATTTACAACCAAGGCTTACACGAAGTAGCAAAACTTCACTTTGGCATTCAGGGGAAAAATCCCAAATGAGTACAATCAGGAACAGACACTCGAAGGTGTAGGGGCGAAACTATTCAAGTATCTAACTAGTCACTGGCTCTAAGCATCGGCAATCACCCGCAGGTGTAGATCCGAACTACTCAAGTCTCTAACCAATGTGCTAGCTCTGAACATTCGGCCGAAGGCTTTCAGCTACAAAATGCGGAACGCTAAGTTGTAACTCCTCATGCGTGGTGACAGAACTCAAGGACACAAACACGCAGAGGAAATGAATTCCTGATCTGCACTTCTGAGTTTGGGAAAGTGTAATAACCCACTAAAGGCTAAAACTGCAATATAGTGGTAGAAAGGTCGAACCCACAGGGACAGAGGAACACACAGGGTACAAAGTGTCACGTTTTAACAGACTATTGAGGAGTTTGAATTCTCAGGCGACTGTCACTCCCAGAAATACTGCAAGTGTCCACTCGGAGCGCACTCGGAGGTCGCACAGTGCAGCGTAACACACACACACACACACCTGAAACTACAGAAACACAACCCAGAGATCCGTTAGGACCTCTACTCAAGATTTCAGGGGGGAAGTCTCTCGCGAGCACACTCGGCAAAGCTGCGGGCAGTGACTTCCAACTCCGGCTTTTACAACACTTCCACTAGCTTGCTGCTAGTGTAGGAAACCCGGTTTGGACTGCCTACTTCGGATCGAAGTCACTCAGACGCGGTGAACAACACTATCAACTCACAAAACGCGCAGAGAACACAGGTCCGCACTGAAGGACTCACTGAGAAACATTCCAGTAACACAACAACAGTCTATTGAAGAGTTTGAATTCTCAGGCACTTGTCATTCCCAGAAATACTACAGGGGTTACCCTCAAGGCACCTGCTGCAGCGTAACCTGAATTTACAACCAAGGTTTACACGAAGTAGTAAAACTTCACTTTGGCATTCAGGGGAAAAATCCCAAGGAGTACAATCAGAAAGAAACACTCGAAGGTGTAGGGGCGAAACTGTTCAAGTATCTAACTAGTCACTGGCTCTAAGCATCGGCAGTCACCCGCAGGTGCAAATCCGAACTACTCAAGTCTCTAACCAATGTACTAGCTCTGAACATTCGGCCGAAGGCCTTCAGCTACAAAATGCGGAACGCTAAGTTGTAACTCCTCGTGCGTGGTGACAGAACTCAAGGACACAAACACGCAAAGGAAATGGGTTCCTGATCTGCACTTCTGATGGGAAAGAACCCCAGGCAAAACGCCTGGAACTATTTTATACCTTCAAAGTCCTACCTAACACTACACTGCACTACGCTACACGCCTGCACGGAACCACGCTACACTACACTCCGCGGAACCTGTACTACGTCTCCTGCGCGGCCGACTGCCGCGCACTAACTCCCTACCCTGCCAATCTTCCGCTCGACTGCGCAGTCCCAAACGCTGCAACGCCGCGGTCACCTCCACTTCGAGGGCGGACATGGTATCCTGTGCCTTCGACAGAAAGGCATCGAGCTTCTTTGCTACCTTCCGCCGACTCCTACTGTCGCCTGAC